AGCTAAAATAATTAAAGTATATGCTTCATTTGATATTGTTGTCCCATTGTCTGGTAGAATCGGTGGAGCACCACCATATAATGTACTTTTAATTGAAGCTTCAAGCATTACTTCATGTCGAATTTGTAAAATTTCTTCTAAATTTGGACTTTGTGTTTTATTTAATTTCCAACATGGTTTTAATGTCTCTAATGATTGCATATCTTTGCCATAAATATCTGGCCTAATTCGGCAATCAATATGTTCTTCCATGTAAAGATCTAATGGTGTTAATGTTAGAAAATTTCTTCCAGTCCATTGATTTGTTCCATAACATGTGAAATTGATTGCTTCATTTAAATATTTTTGAAATCCAAATGAAGCATTAATTATTGTGACTGATTGTTCTTTTTGAAGTTGTTCATTTTTGTGAAATTGTTCACTCATTTGATTAATAAAATGTCGAAACCATGCTAGTCGACAATCACATACAAATGGATTTCCAATTATATTTAAACCACCTAACCAGTAGATTTGATTTGATTCATATAAACCATAATTTAAATTTTCATTTGATGATACTTGATGATGATGTTCTCGTTCAGTTAACCAAATCGGTTTCAACGGGATAATACTTTCAAATGGTTTTTTAAAACCTAATGCATAAGCACATCTTTCCATAGTCACTAAAAGATTATAGCTTAAATCTAATCTTGATAAATGATGCTCTTTTTCGTTCGGTGTATATTCATGTTCAGTTTCATTTTCTATCTTGTATTCTTGTATTGTTAAAAGTTGATTTTGTGTCAGCACTAAACTATTCAATTCATTCAAATTCTCAAATAATCCAGGTGGAATGTATTCTAAATAATTTCCAGAAAGTATTAAACTTTTTAATTTTTTCAAATGTGTTAAACCTAAATTTAAATAAACTTGTTCATTTATATGTTCTTGTGCAGTTTGATTATTTTCATTCATTTGTTCATGATGCATAGATTTGATCAACATATTCGCTTCTAATTGACAATTGATCAAACTTAAATGTTCAATGCTATTTTTAATTGGTCGAAGTATTTTCTCCCAATTCGCTTGTCCATCTTCTAGTTGAACACTAATTAAACGTATAGAATTCAAATGTAATTCATTCAATGTTGCTTGATCTTGTAAATTGATCCAATTATCATCGAATAATTCTAAAGGATTTTCACTTAAATGTAACACTTTCAAATTATTCGATATTGAATGAACTGGTACATAGTTTATACCGTTTGATGTAATTTGTAATTCTTCTAAATAAGGCCAATACATACTGAATGTTTGTGGTAATTTCTCTAATGGTATTTGATTAGAATTAATACTAAGTAATTGAAGTTGGTGAAATTTTTTAATGACATTTAAAAAATTAAAATTGTCAAATCGATTAAAACCAATATATAATTGTTTCAATTGTCCACCTAAATGATATAAATTTAAACCATACAACTCATTATTTTCGTGATTGTCAATTAAGTTAGTTAGTCCACAATTTTGAATATTTAAATGTTCTAAATTACTATTGACATAATCACCTAAATGTAATTTTAAACTTGCTTTTATCAACGGGATATTTGATGATGATGATGATAGTGTTGTATCTTGTGTTCTGTGTAAATTTGTCCCATCCAAACTGAATAATTTCAATGCATATAAATATTTTGCCCATATATATGAATTATCTAACAATTTCCAACCATCACCAATTTGTTTTTCTATTCTTAATTCTAAAAGTTTATTTTCTTCATTGTTCAATGGAAATGCTTCATTATGTATCCGATTCAAATTATTATTTATCATAGTAATTATTGTTAAGCGATTAATCCAACCATGAAATGCATACTGTGGTATACCAATGGATAAATCTATATTTTCTAAATGAAGTGATTTTAAATTGTGCAAATATTTCAATTCTTGAAATAAATTCCCTGAGACTTTTTTCAATTCATCACCATCGTATTGATTTTCAATATAAAGTACATCCAATTGTGATAAACCTTTAAAACATCCATGTTGAAATATATGTAAAGATAATCCTTTAAGAATGAGTTTACGTTCAATTATCCTAGTAGAATTATTATACATTAGAATATTTTCAAATGTACCAGATGAACAAATTTCAATTTTCGGATTATTTTCTATACGTATAGTACTAATTGAATAATTTTTATCAGTTTGTATGAAAATTGGTAATCTATTGCCAAATTGTAATGTATTCTCATCTTGACAAATAATCATTTTAACTTTTGAATTGATTAAATCTGATTGTTCTATGATACATGGTTGAAAGTGTTCTGATTCATGTAGATAATATACAACATGATGATGAGATTGGGATAAATTATTTTTATATAATGAAAGTTCATGTGTTCGTATTGTTTTGGTTGTGGTTGTGGTTACCATAAACATGAACAAACTATAACTATACAAACATAATGATGTTACAATGTAGACTAGTTCTTTTCCGTGATAGTTAAACATTTTAATTCCATGATTATTATTTATTTCCGTTTTTATGAATCACATGGTTAGTATTTAAATAAAGTATAATTTATTTTATTATATAGCATAGGAGGATGATACAAGCATTGTATTATTGATTAAATCATTAGTATATCAGATATTTGTACTTTAAATCAAATCATTTCTCCATTAATTAATTAATTGATATTTACTTTGATAATAGTTACAGTTCCACATTATTTTTATCTTGACTCTGAAATTGATAATTGATATGGAAAGTGAAATTTATTTTTTATTTATATACACGGATTTATGCTGAATTCTCATTGGTCTATTGATTGTGCATGGTATTGATTTGCTATACATTATGATTGGTTGATGATGATTGGCTTTTCTTATTTTTTGACAATTACAAACTACTGTCTAGCAGTATTACCTAATTTCATGTATTACATACATGAATATATACAAATACTTGTGACTAGTTATCCGACAGTATCACATGTTTTTTGTTGTTCTCATTAGCTTGCTTCTTCAGCCTACTGTGATAGAAGTGATCTTTTTCTTATTTTTGCTTTCATGATGATTCATAAATTGGTGCTTGATACCTTTTTACAGTAGTATCTTGATAAATAATGACATGTATATTACTATTAAAAGATGAAAATAATTGGCTTTTTTACATGAAATATTTTGCAACATGTCACCTGAATTCCTTAACCATTGTGGTTGTATCCCAATCAACTAACAATTTACCACCCACCGTTAACTTTATTCTAATCCACACCTATGCTTACTAGTATTGCACTTCGAGCTAGGAGGCGGCTGATCTTTCGCTTATTATTAGTTGTAACTATTTTCAATGATAACTTTTATGAGAGAATACGACTTTTTCAAATTAAGGATGCAATATTCCGAATTATTTTTCTTTTATTGTTATGTAATTGACAGTTCTAAATAATTTTCTTTTAGTTATTAACAATTAACTAATCAGTCAAACTTCTTTTCAACCATTAATTATTTTAATATAAATTTTATTGTCAGTTATTTATTTCACAAATCAACTTAGTCATTTATTATTTATAAGTAATTTTTATAGCAAGTAATATCTGTCAAGCCAGCATATATTTAAGCGAAAACTCAATTGACTTATACTTAAATTTGATTGTTCCTCTTTCTTCCTTTGAATTATTACATCGAAACGTATCATCCAGTCACGATTCATAAATGTTCTACTAAATTAGTCAACTACAATGAGTGGACAATTGTGGCATTTTTGATTTGAGAAAAGGTTGTGAGGGAAAGGTACTCAGGTGTACAGCATTACATTATTCAACATTAGGTTAGTGTAATTAGTTGACCAACCTCAATACAGTCACTTTGTTAGTATGGAAGAAGCTAACGATACAGAATTTTCACCCGGCTACCATCTTTATTTCAAAATAGTGCACATGATGACCAGTTACTTTGACTAATAGCTACACTACAACTTAATGGATTAAATTCGACCAGCACTAAGGAGGACGTGATATACATGATATTTTTCACTATTCAGTAATCGATCGATCATAAATATTAACTGCTTAAAGTAGACAGAGTGGTATGCAAACTTGAAATTCACAAGTTGAAAACTGATAGCTTCAAGCGAATAAGCTACTGATTTATTGTACATGAATTGCCCCAAAATGTAGATAGTGTCGGTTATTAGATACGAAGCTTTCATCATATGACTTTTCAGTTGTTAAACTTTTACCAGAAGATTCGCTCGTTAACAGAGTCCTACTTGGTGAAGACGCTTACAAAATGCAGAATAAATGAAGTAGTGAAACTTCATCAGTTGAGGTGGTCGGGACATGTGCTACGAATGTCAAGCTATCGACTGCCTCCACGAGCTATGTTTTGTGGTGTAGTGGTAGTTTGGAAGAAAGCTAGGGGCGGCCAAACTAAAACATGGCACAAATCCATGAAGATACTGACAACTAAATTGTGTCATGTTGGTAAGTGTAGACTACCAGGATGGGACCCGCGAAATGATGGTAATTGATAGTTGGATACCTTAAATGACATGGCTCAAAATCGTTTGCAATTTCACTGGTGCATCTATTCCTTGTGTACTCTCAAATTCTAATCTTTTGAATTCCTAATCACCTTTACCTTTCTCTTTTTAAGTTTATTTCTCTATATTATACTTCTTGAATAATATCTTCGAACCCTAATATCTCCGATGCTGCTAATACTTCTGTTTAAGGGATTTAAATTGACGATTGCATCTCTCTGTTAATGTGGTGTGGCAGCTTGAACTGATGTACGTAGGTTCGAAGCCAACGTTATAACTGGCTGACTGGCTAGCATCGGTTATCACTGAGAGATCAGATTGTTATTGCCCTTGGTTTTTACGATAAAATATCAATCGCAGTTTCATGTATTTATGTTTAAGAAAGTAATTAACCATGTTGCATATTACTACTTACCTTGTAAATTTTGTCTCATGATTACTGGTGTCTATTTTTTTGTATAATTTTTAGTTATTTCATTTCCCATGCCCTTTGACATCATCATTCACGGGATCCGATCGAATAGCAAGATCACTTTCAAATGAACCTGCGATAAAGTTACATGGGACTCTGTATATACCTCATGTAGAAACAAATTGTCCTACAAGGGTAGCTTCCGATTCACAGGTAAGCAACATTAATTAATTTACATGAATAATCTCTTTTATAACTAGATATACCAAGACTTTATCAATGAGGTTCACATTGATGTTACTCATTTCTGTGTGGATTTGGATATCAGTATTATGGATCGTATACATCGTATTACCGATGCATGGGCGGCTGCATCTGAAGCTGTCAGTCGTTTATCACCCATTGGACCGTCCGATTTCAACCATCATGCAGAATGGTGTGATACAGACTTAAACAATGATATTCCAGTTACAATGAAATCTGATCACTATCATCTTGGAGATCTAGTAAGCTATGGTTGTCTTTACATTTTATGCGAACTTTTATTTTATGTAACTAAACGTTTAACACCTCACAAACATAATTACCTTTGCTGCAAATCATACACTACAGTTCACTTACGTCTATCGATAAATTTAGTGTAGTTCAACAATTCATCAAGTAATAACCTTAAACTTGTAGTTGGTTTATTTCCTTTTGTTGACTAGGCTCTTGTCTCAAATAGATACTTTTCATCGTTCCCAATTAGATTTAAGGCATAAGCTAGTTAATAACTCTTTTTGCAGTATTTCAGTCAGAGTCTTAACACGTTAACAAAGACTGTGAGAAATCATTCAACCATATTTTTCTTTTACGAAATCAACAAAATGATTTGTTTGTTTACTATTATTTTGTTTGCCTTACTTTTCTCACTCTGATTTTAGATCCACAACATTTTACGTCTGATAAGGTGACTTCTGTATGATTTTACGACTATGAGGTTCCGCTCTAGTTTCATACGATCATGAAAACTTGAAATGTTACACATATGTACCACGTTCCATGTCATCTGTGGTTAACTGATTAACTTATAATGATTTTTTTCCTCGAAGAATTACATTTGTCAGTAAAAAAGATTACTAATTAACAATATAAAACAATTAGTCCCTTTTATAAATTTTGATAGAACAGTGAGCAGAAACGATTTGTCATAACCTTGAATTTACCTTGGTAATCTTTAAGCCTAGGGTAATGTGACAATTTTCCTACCCCTTCTTATTCTTTTCATATTACGTTAATTTTCTCTCTCCTTTATTTACAATTATCACCCTATGTCTATTTGAACTTTTATTCAATTGACCTTTTATTCATCTTCATATAAAATGCCTTGACAAGTAAATATGCGTGACCAGATTGTTCGAAATGTATGGCGCAAATACATCACATTTTTCAGATCAATTACGTCTTCTCACTGTTCTAATTAACAATACACAAATTATGTATACGGCTATTATTTAATATATGTCTCTAATACATGACTAACTTTCAGTGTTACCTCTAATTAGTAATCTTACTAAGTGAAAAACGATAAGTCAATCACCGAGATTACACATCTTCACATAAAAGTGGGTTATGACATTATCCACAGTTGCATTTATCTTTTATTTTCTTCTGAATCATGACTTTGGAGGCGCTTCACTCTTTCCACTGAATTTCTGATTTCTTTATCAAATTATTTATTTTGATGGTGTTGCGTACTCTGATCTAGATGGATTATTCATGAAGCTTTTATTGACATTCTGGAAAACACCCTTAGCGCTTACTTTGTGTACACATGAAGTATCTATTTATTGCACAAGTCTTACATCACTTTATCCTCGTGAAAATTCATTGTCTGTTGTTTATTACTTTTGTTTTTAGAATTCAGTTCATAAATCTAAAAATTTATTCAAATACAACACCTCTCCTTCAACCAGTTTTCAATCAAATCAATTAGATTCATTGAGAAATTTTCAGTCTTCCATGAATATGACAGTGAAATGTTATAGTTTTGAATTTAATTTACGCTTTCCCATTCCTATAGAGACAATAAAAACGGTAAGTTTCATTTAATTTGGAATAATATTATGTATGATGTAGAGTAATTAGAATGTCACTTATTGTTTAGTCAGTAGTTTACGATGTAAAATATTGCGTAAACGTTTCAACCACAGTCACTACCTTACAACGAAATGGAAGTACTGTAAGATCAAAGCTGCACAAGTAAATAGAGTTCATCAGAAAAGTTTGATTTCAGAAACAATAAAATGTGTCCTAGTGATAAATGAAGTCTCTAGCGACGCTGTCTTTTAAAAATCAGATGGAAGTAAGAAAAAAAGCTTTTTACCAAAGTGGTAATATATTACGTAAATCAACTACTTCTTTATAAATTCAATTTAAACTGTTTTATTAGACTAAAAGCATTTGATTTCGACCGATTCGGTCTCGTGTGCTGTTACGGGTATGAGGGCGGTTGTCACTGAGTCATGTTGGTAGATGTAGACTACCTGGTTGGGGTCTGCGAGACGAAAGTCACCAATGGTTAGAGACCTTGAATGACATGGCTCAGAATCGTTTGCAATGGCGCAAGTGAATCCATTCTTTGAGCCCTCTCAAATCCTAATCTTCTGGATTCGTCAATACCTCTGCCTTTGTCTTTCTAACCTTATCTCACTTAATTATACCTCCTGAATAATATCTTCGAACCCTAGTCTTCTTCATTACCATTAATACCTCTGATATCTCTATCACTTGGGATTTGATTTGACATTTGCGTCTCTGTGCTAATGTGGTATGGCAACCTGAACTTATGTACATACGTACGAAGTTCTACGTTGCAACTGACTGACTGATTAAACTAAAATCTCTCCAAGGATCCAATAATATGACCATCGGTCATTATTCATTCACTGATCGATTAAATCAGTGAAGTGCATCCACCAATATGTTCGATACATAGAAACGTCATTGCTAATGTGATTATTTATAACAGAATATACGAAAAGTTCTACGAGTAAAACTCCATACAGATTTCTCATTTCTATGCTTACTTCTAACTACACATTGTTGTTATTTAATTAGTCTTACTACTTAACCACTTATTAAATTATTTTTATATAACTTGTTAATTTTACATCTATCTTGTCTCAGCATATGTACCAGATAAATCCATTGAACAACATTAATCTAACCTTACTAATTAGATCAGAGCCTGAAGTCATTCGCCTTAACTATCTTTAAGAATGTTCATTTAGTTCATGGAAATACTGTTTTGCTCTTGCTCCGATTGGATTGTTCATCGTTTTTCTGTTATCCCTCTCTTTATTCCTCTCTCTCTCTCTCTCTCTATATATATATATATATATATATATATATATATCGTTCGTCTTTAAATTTTGTGAAGAGATATCGTCCATTGTGTCTCTGCTGAGCTTATCCTTTGCTTTCATACTTAACTCACTTTTTATCAGAATGTATTCTCTTTTTCTTCCATATAATTAATTTTTGCATAGTTTAATATCCTATTTCAGATTTAAAGTTTAATGGTACTACGAAAATGTTTCTAAAATATTTATTTGATTTTCTGTGATATTTTTTTTTCAGTAATAACATTGAAATATTTCGAGTGTGTTGTTTATTTAAGATAATATTGCACAAACAACAGTGTATACATGATAAATATATACGAAGTAACTTACTAACTCCGTGTTATCGTTTGGTTTTATTCATGTAAATATTATCTAAAAACCTATTTTCCTAAATGCACTCCTTTTTTTCTTCAAAACAAGACCTCTGGTCAAAAGATTACAGAAATTCGTTCAAAATTATGGAATACTGGAACAGTCTACAACGCGAATCCATCAAACTCTGTACAAAGTATATCATGGTGGGCTAGAACAGTTCGTAAAGAATATCTTTCCATATTTATGAAAAAAATTCGTTTAACTTTTAATAATTCCAAAGAATTGACACCGAAATCCCAGCTGTTTGATGAATCAAATGATCATTTACAAAATAATATCAAAGCTAAGAGTTCATCATCTTTTAAAGATAAAAAACACATTGGGAATGAACAAGAATTAGAATTAGTTATAGGATCTTTATCAAGTGAGTTTAAATTGTTTAAGCAATAAATTTCATCATATTTGGTTAGTATTCACTCAGTCGTCCCAGGATACACGAGCAATGCTTCGGATACACCTATGATCGAATACTAGTTACCTACGAATGTCCTCTTCTCTTAACTGCCATGTTTCGCATCCGTATAGTAGGACGGAGCAAACTGCTGCACTATACACTCGTCCTTTGGTTAACAAGCGGATATCTCGCCTACGCCATAGGTGACGCAGGTTGGCAAAAGCCAATCGAGCCTTCTGTATCCGTGCTGAGATTTCGTCAGTCAGCAGGCCATCAGCACTGATGAGACTCCCCAGATACGTCAAGCAGTCTACACGTTCGACTACTTCACTCCCTATCACTAGTTCAGTTGTCAATGCAACCCAATCTTGAAGCAACATTTTGCATTTCCAAGGAGGATACCGCATCCCGAACATGCTTGCATTGTTGCTTCGCGTGGTCAGAAGACTCTGCATTTTGTCAGCATCTTCACCAAGTAGGACTATGTCATCGGCATATTCTAAGTCGATAAGCGAGCCTCCTGGTAATAGGTCTACTCCTGAAAATTCAGAATGGTTTCCTTTCTCTTAATATAAATTCTTTAAAAAATGTATGCCGGTTGTAAATTTAGAGAGTATAGACTACACAATATCTACTTTATCAAATTACCATCATTCTTGTTCGCTAATATATTCTCTTTTTTTCTTTAAATATAATTCATTCTTCATGTATAGTTAATTTGGTGAATGATGATATTAAAATACAATCAATGCCTATCGTACATTTCACAACAAAAATGAATCCTATTCCTGAACCAATCAAGTAAGTGTCTTATTGTATACATATATTTATATTATTTGTAAATGTGATAATTCTAAAAAAAAGTTTGATGATTATTTCAGTCATGTTTTTAAAATCAATATTATCTGACTACTTTTGACGCGGGTATTATGAATGATAGGAGTTGATTTAAATTAGAAATGTTTATCTTTCAGAAATCGATTCTTTGTCTTTAATATTTAAGCGCTTTTCATAGTACCTAGAAGCCATGCTTTGTAAGTCTACACTGCTGAGGAGTTGCATTCCAAGTACAAATCAGCTACCTCCTGGTACTTCTCGATTTTCAGTGAGATAGATAGATGATGAATACCATCTACAGATTAAAACAAAGTTTCACTTAACTATTTCATGTACATAAATCATAATACTATTATGTGGTTGGCTTTTATTGTCGATTCATTTAAACTTCAAATTCTGTTGTGAATGTTAAAATTGTGAGAATAATCAAATGAAAAAATATTGATAACGTAGAGTAAGAGCAACATTCGAATCACTCAAATTGATAGATAATCCAAACAGATACTACAAATCACATGAAATCACATGAATTGCAAAGCGTGCAAATACGCCGGTATGGCCCAGCGTGAAGGGAGTCAGGTTTTACTTTCTAAATGCTCTCATATAACCATGAGTATGAAACGACTGTAGAGAATTCCTTCTCGTGATGGGATGTTGCTTACGAACTTGAGAGGATTAAAAACGTTTGTCTGGTGCTTCAACAGAAGATCCACTTAGCAGAGTTAAATGAAATTGATTTCAAACCATTGGTACACATAGGTTCCAGAATTCTGAGGGAACATATTGCATATGAACTTATTGTTGGTCATTGGCTACCCTAGGACTGCATCTCCTTACGTTACTCCACTGCCTTGTGGATCAGACCCCCAGACTAACGGTCTAGAAGTGCTGGCTTAAGAAAACCACCTGCTTCCGCTTGAGTTCCTGGCTAGTATCCCACCTTACTCACATTCAGTGACTTGTGTGGTGCTTATTTATTTTGGTTTCTTATTTGTACCACTGTTTGTAGATAAATAGAATGAGTTTTAGAAATGTCTCAATTAAATTGTTCAAATGCTCAAGAACTAAGATAAATAAATTTATTTAAATTTAAACCGTAATAATATAATTGGAATGATGATATATTATTCTTAAATATATACTATTTCATTGCTGTATGCTAAAGCGAATTTCTCATGTCTAAAACGAACTCTAATTGAACAGATAATTTATATGCATTTGTGAAATCAATAAAGCCATAATATAGAAACTGTGTATTCGATATCGGCTCCATCCTTACATTCCTTCAATTCATTTAATTGTTAACGAATCTTGTAAATGTCCACTATGTTTTTAGAAAAATTGATTTTGAGCTGTCTAAGAGATATTTCTAATCATGAACTGGTCAATTATAGACCACTGTTGAAAACTTGGAACCACTAAATGGCCGTTTCGTCCTAATATAGGACCTACCAGCAGTATGTATCCCTAAGCTTGCAAGTGATGATCTGATCCAGGACTTTCCGTCCCATGTGCAAACACTTTTACTGCTTGAACATTAAATCGGTATCCAGTGGATTTAATGTCTAACTTGAATCAATCCATTATGCTGTGAGACCATCGTCAATTGCCTTCTATCAGTAACTTCCCGAAACCAGACCTCGTTTAAGTCCACTGGCCACAGTTTCTTACTAGAACTCCGAGAATTCCCTCTCAAAGTAAGCTTCGAATTCCGCCAGGTTTTTAGTGATAGTCTAATATTAATCGTTTCATAATCTCAATGAAACTCAACATCAATGCTCGTAAATTTGGATCTTCAAGTATCAAAGCCTCGTCAATATCGTTAACCGAACTTGCTTCTTGTTTACAATTTCCAAGTCCACCAATTTGTTCACTTAAAATTTTTCTTTGCATTACTTTGATTAGAACACAAGATGGTTTGCATTGTGTCATTAGTTCACTGAATTTTGTAGTAAATATCAACCATGTATGCAATTACCTCAGTTTAATTATGTACTATTCGATTTCATCTTCAGAGTGTACATACGCATATCTCCTAGTGGACGAACTGATCTTGTCGAGTGTATCAATGAAAATCCAATGAATAAAGATTTCGATGAACCGACAACAACTAGACAACACCCTGTTCAATTTGAAGTCGGTGTTGATTTAACAACAATCAATGAGTATGTTTCGTCATCTGATCAATTTTATAATCAAAATAGATCTAGTCATGATCAATCTGTTGAATGGTCATTGTGGAATCAAGCTAATCCTAAGCAAAATTGTTTTATTCCTTTAGTAGTCAGACAAAATTTCGCTCAAGACGCACCAAAACCTCATTCTAAACAGGTAAGTAATTTCTACCTTCATATCTAATACTGATGTAATAAAAGAGTTTATATATGTCATATATCTCATAAACTGTATTCTGTCAGGAAAATATTTTATTATCTTAGGGATTATTTGTTCAGATTATTATTCAAGAATCCTTACTTAATTGTAGGTAACTATTTTGACTCGAAAGATCACTTACGTAGTTACTTGATTTGTATTCAACTCTGTTTAATTACTTTGTCTTTTTAAAATATTATGACAAATTTTCGATACATAAACAACTATGCAATGTACATGCGCCATTAAGTCTGTCAAACAGACCAGAATTATTGAAGACAGAATAAATGTATGTTTTTAATCATTGGTTGGTTGATTGCTGACTCCAACCTTGAATTATGCTACAGTGAATCCGCAATTCTAAACTGACAGTTTTAGAATACATATATAGCTAACGATGGCATACAAATTTATATGACCAGGAAATTTCTCATCTGACTTTTTTTTATATAACCTTAATATTAAACGTCGACAACCGTCTTTTGACAGGGTGAGTTAATTTCGTTGTCATGTTAACCATTTTGTTAGCTGCATTGAATTCGAAGTAGGGCTCATGACTTTGGTGGCCCTCTATCGTACTCCAATATTTATAAACACTTGAATATGCTATGAAATCAATCTCCCCATCAGTTTTCGCATATTAGCATTAGGCGAACCCCGTTTGTAATAAAGAAGCCAAATACCGATTTGGTTGGATGAGTTTATGTCAAGTAATCGTACATGCAAACAGAAATGAGAATCCATAGCGTTAAAACAAAGCGAAACATAATGTAGGCGAGCGAGTCAAATCAATATAGTGTGGCATGACTAAGCATTTACAGTCAAACAAAATGAGCTAAACATGTAGTAAGCGAAGTAAGCGATGCACACATACTCGAGTAAAAACAACCAAGATGAAAGTTAGTAGTTGACAATGTGGGAAGACGTGTGAAGAAATCGAGAAGAATGGATTGATTAAATTGAGGGCTGAGACAAGCTCTATGGACTCGACGTAAAAGCACATACACTTCAATCTAATTCTTTAGTAATACTAAGTTTAGTTAAATGTGTGATCTGAATATTACATTTGTAGCGATAGTTGGTGTCTATTTTTTTTATAAACGGTGATGAATATAATGTTTATTCCTTTGAATACATTGATAAAACTGATAAATTTAAAGGGCCTTCAAAATTAGCTGTGAAAAGTCTTCAGGGGCTGTCAAAAGATTGAAAACACTTTGGTCGCTCAATGTTCCATAAAGATTTCTTATAGAATTCTGAGAAATCGATAGATTATGTGTCATGCTAGGTTAACTAATTTTCGAAACACATTCTTAAATCTTTAGAATATCAGAAAACAAATTAGCGATAGCATAACACTCAGTAGAGTTTGACCATATAATTCAATTCAACGGCTCAAGAGTCGTTCAAAAAAGGCTGTGGTTCATATAAAGTAAGACTAACAGCTAAAGTGCAATAACGTAGCATATTTTCTTGTTTAACTCAGTCTTCGTTTAAAATGTACTTCTGTTAGCGCTTTTATGTGTTGTTTTTTCCTCAATTAGATAACTTATTATCCTGGTAATAAGGCTCATATGTCCTCTTACCGTCAATCTGCGAGTATGCACACTCACTTATTTGTACACTTGAAAGTACCTATGGCTGAAATCACGGTTGAAAATAAACAAACAGTAGAACTACTTTGTCTACGGTTAGTTCTATTTCAGTTTTAATGTTAATGTTTATTTAATTATATGATGATGAATTATCGTACGCAGAATAAAACAAATTCATATCACCTTATAAACAATGCACTTAGTGCCTTTATTTCCAACTAAAATAAAACACGTTTTTCCCAATGTATCATCCATAGGAATGCCATTAAGATAATAATGATGCCGAACAAATCTAATTAATTTTCAATCATATGTTAGAAAACATTTTACTGTTGTAACAAAAATTATTCTTGCAGAAATATTTGACTTAACATATATTGTGTTGTACAATTTTCATAAAACAATGCTTACATTATATTTTTAAAAAAAAGTGATTCTCATCACTGTCTATACCTTAACATTTCTAGTTAAATATTCAGTGCTTTTCCAAATATTTACAGTAATCAAAGCGAATTATCAATTTTTATTAACATGTTCAATGTTGAAACATTTAATAGTTTAACAAATGGATAGTAGATATTGATTTTGCTAATTGATTACTATCCGCAAAAGAGGAAATATTGATTTGAATCGGTGTGTATCTTAATTAATTCATCGTCAATTCTATTAGTATTTTACTTCATCTTAATGGGATTATAAAATGACATATTTTCTACATCCAATGCATATTTCTTGAAATATCTGACTGTATTGTTGTCGTATAATTGTTGTATTCTTCAAAAACTATCTGAATCAACATTTTAATATTAAGTTATCATGAAATCAACATGTTAAAAGTACACAATAAACTTTTATCTTATTAGAAAGCTATTATATATATTTTCAGTTAGAGTTTTGGAGATTAGTGTTTTTACACATTTCAAATCATCAATCAATCATTGTTAGACCACCATTAGAAACCTGTAAGCATTGGACGGCCGTTTCGTCCTGGTATGGGACTCGTCAGCAGTGCGCATCCACGACTCCTGCATCTCTCAGGATTCGAACCTGGGGTCTTCAGTAGTTACTACCTACACGCGACAGGGTTGAACTCCACTGGTCATGTCTTCTCACTAGAACTCCGAGAATTTCCTCACGAAGCTAGTCACTAGTGAGCACATGTTACGATATTTTCAGTTAGAGTTTTGGAGATTTGTGTTTTTACATATTTGAAATCATTATATATATATTTGTTTCTATTAAAGTGTGTTAACATTAGCAATCAATGGGACATTTATTTACACTATCGTCTGTATAAACTTCGTTTTTATAATGCTTTTTATGGTTAATAAAAATATTAAAGATTCCCATTGTTAAAATCAGAACAACACAATATAACCGAACAATATTGTTTTCCATTAGATTGTCATCAGGCTTTACTCTCTCTAATAAACATGAATATTTATGTATGAAAATGTTAAGCCAATCAAGGCAATTTAAGAGTCAATATTCACAATGAGATGAAATAGATTACGTCAATACATATAATAGGCAAAAGTACAAGTCGATAGTAGGAAGACAGGTGTACTGATAGTAGTAAGAAGAATAAAATAAGATAACAAAAGTTTTTGTCAATAGTAGGTCACACGTGAATAAATAGACTTAAAATAATCATTACAAAACATCCAGACCATTATGTAATAAGAAGTGTGTACATAATTAGACAGTGAAGAATATAAACGGAAAGAGACAGAAAATTAACAACAAATTCAGGATGTGAAAATAATGCTATAAATAACAAAATAAAATTTTTAAAAGAAGAAAGGGCTGTCACAAATTTCTTCTGAACACTTAAATTGGGGTTGAATGTACGAATTCCTATGGCCTTTGCCATGTGTAGGTGACGGGATCGAACTCCGTTGGGAAATGATGGAGGTATACGATAGATCACCCGAAAAGATCTAGACTTATCTATAATATGACCACTATCAATCAGACGTGCTAAGATAGAACTGCGTATTGTTTTTATCTGACCATTCATAACCCATGCTCGGAGATGTTCACTCATTCGTTGTTTTAGTTGCCTGGTAGTACGCCCGAGCAGCTAAATTAGTAAATGCACAGATAGGAGACCAACTCAAGTAACTTATCCTTCGTTTGGGTAGACATCGCTGGTCGACTTGAGAAGGTCAACGCAAGTTTGGCTGCGCTTTAACATTTTCATATAAATATTCATGCATATTAGAGTAAAGCGTGGCGACGATTTAATCGAAACCAATTTTGTTTGCTCATGTGTTGTGAATAAAAATGTTCACTGGTTCCAGACAATTTTCAGACACTTTTATTGTTTATGTAGTTGTTCATATTCCATATGTATTGAACATTTTTCTATTTACAGATTAATGTATGATCTTTTATTATGGCAATCATTGTTACCTAATGATCGTCGCCTACGTGCAACGCTGAAACGTCCAAATTATCCATATCATACAGTAGATTCTATGACAAATTTACAATCAGATCATCGTTATTGGTTTTTAAGTGATCCAGCTCCTTTAGCTACTATCTATGCTCATCCGGATGCTGCACGTGCAGCTGCTGAACTGGAAGCTATCACACCGATTGGTTATTATTCTAATGTAAATCATCATCATCATCCAAGCGGTTTACATTATCATTCAGTACAAAGTGATGATGAAGAGGATGAAGAAGAAGAGAATGGTGATTACGTTGAAAATGATTTCGATGAATTATACCAGTATACACATAAGAATAATACTAATAAAATTAGAAACAATTTGTTCGGTAACCATTATGTAAAATATGATGAAGGAAATGTCAGACATTTTAGTAGTAAAAGTTCTTGGTCAAAAAATGATTTACGACGACATTTTAACAGTGAGTCATTTTCTTAAACTTATACGCACTGAATTTGTCAATGTTTATGCTTAATATTTGTTTAAAAATACTGAATTTACTGATTTGTTTCAGTCTATTGTAATACATGTTTATATGTGAAGTTTCTGTTGTCGAATATTTTAATTAACCTATATGATGGTGGTTGATATCCTAGTGCTTGAATTCATTACGATGGTTAGGGTTGAAAAAATCATTGGTTACTTTGTAATCTTTTCTCCCGTTTTTGATTGATTATTTATCTGTTAAGTCGCACTAACTTGGTTGAATGTTCTGTATATTAACGGCAATTCTAATGCCAGCTGTTTAATCTTCTAGTATCTCATCTGTTGAGAATTCATCGTTTGATTCTTTAAATAGTTTTATGTTCGACGACTTCATTCACTCCAGTAGTTTGTCAGTCCAATTTATTTTTTACAATAGAATAGAATTTCTGTCATCTTGTTTAGTCAATAAAATCCTTTATCCAATGGATATCATCTTAATCCCCTATGTGTACGAAGTTTTCATGACATCTATTGATGTATGCTCTTCTTGCCAGCAGTTACTTACAACCTAGAACTTCGTACATGCGTACATCGGCTCAGGTTACCATACCGCATTAGCGCAGAGACGCGAATGTCAGTTCCAATCCCATAGTGGTAGCGATAGTGTAGTGAAGGAGAACACAGGTGAGGGCAAACGAATTGTATTTATCTCAAATTACAGAGTTAATTGGTAAAATAGGAAAACCATATCGCAAATGGTTAATTTGCAAAATATCTATCCATCATATCGAACTGGACTGTTCCTGTTGCAAACATCAATCCATTGTCTGACATTTCACTGTTTGTGCGTTTCATACAAATCCCATTGTGTTCCCGCTCTTCCTTTCTGGATCTTCCCTCATCTTCTACTGCCAGACATTACGTTTTTACTGGAGTCATATACTACTTATAAGTAGCGCGCACCACAATAGTAGAAGTATTCACAGTAATCGGAGAGATTAGAGTTCGAAGTTATGATTCGAGAAGTATAATTCAGTGAGATAACTTTAGGAAGATAAAGATATGGGTGATGAGAATTTCATAGAGCACAAAGAGTGGATTCACCTGCGACATTGTCAGTACATCATGAGTACATCATGAACTGTGATAATAAAGTCTGTATGCAAACCTGTCAATCAATCATATCCCTTTTAAATGTATATTCTGGTTACTTAACACAATATTATTTTTTTTATTAATTAAATTAGTCAGCATTCATAACACAGTCCAATTATCTTCACGCATAATTTTTTCACTACCCCTAAGTATTAAGCTGTCATTTCATATTTTTGTTATATTCTTCTAATCTACTTACAATCTGTCATTTATTAAGTAACACACCTTGTAAAAAATACGCTTATACTATTCTATTCTGATAATGTTTTAACTTAATTACTTCATCATTCATAGTTGTACATGTATAATAATTGATTCATTATTCTCTAGGTTGAGTTTTGTCAATTACACGTTTTCTTAAAAAAAAATATATTCTAAATAATTTATTTGTCAAATCTACTCACATACTTTGCTTTTTTGTCTCTATTCTACACCAAAAGACAAGAATAATGTGAATTCAAATGAACATTCTTTTTCCTATAAAAATCGTCATCGCTATACCAGTAATCATCATCGTAACAACAACAACAACAACAACAGTAGCACTACTCATGGTACAAATCATAAATTACCAGGATCATTAACCAATACATCGGTTCAATATCAATCTTCTATTTGTTTTCAATTTGATATAAACACTTTACAATTGACAACTTTTCTTCCTGAATCATCATTATCATCATCATCATCTGTAGGAGAAATTGATTTAATGGAAAAAGTGATTGTCAATGCTTCGAATAGTACATTATTTATTGAATTGGCGCATAATTCTAATCCGAATTTAAATTATGTTGAAATGGAAATTAATGAATTCGATATAGCTTATAGTTGTAAGTGTCATAATTTGTTACATTGTTTCTTCCGTAATATTATGATGATGATTGGTAGTGAGAATAATGCATGTTACTTTTGCTTGCAGTATTATTTCAAAACATTAAAACAACCTTCAATTAGAATTTTCCTTGACATTGCATATGTTTAATTAAAAACAGCAATCCGTCGATGATTGTTCTGAATCGGTTAACAAGAGCTACTACGTAACAACCCAAGAAAACAAGCAAAGCAACAACTAAGCTGAAATAAGCATATTCTACATGTTGGTGTAGATATTTTTTCCCTTATTGAAGAGCGCTTTAAAATTCTATTCAATCAACCGTTGGGTTACAGGTTTGAAACTAGTACCGATTCCTTTAATTTCATCAATCAGGTTGAATTAGTGTAGTATTGCAGTCAACTACATGTAGATATAGTTGCTTATGGAGTTAGATTACTTAAAGTTACTTTTTCGTCCCTAAAAGACATTTTTCTTATGATGTGCGAGAATTTTAAAAAAAACACTTGTAGTTTTATTCATAGCGGTTTCACTGTTTTTGTTAAATCAAAACTCCATATATTCAAAATTGTTCAACTTGTTTGTGAGTATTCTAATCATCAGTTCAAGCACTTTACTTCGTGCTATGGAACCATTATTTTGGTTTCTAGCAGAGTCGCTGTATTATAAACATTGAGGTTAGTCTCACGATTCAGATCACATCAATCAATCAATCAATCAATCAATAGCAACGTAGAACTTCGTACATGCGTACATCACTTCATGTTGCCATACCACATTAGCACAGAGATGTAATTGTCAATTCAAATCCAATAGTAGTAGATGTAGTAAAGGTATTAGCAGTAGTCGGAGAGGTTAGAATTAGAAGATATTATTCAAGAAGTAGAATCTAGTGAAACAGACTTAAAAAGATAAAGATAAAGTGATGACAAATTAAAAAGTTTAGGATTCGAGAGAACACAAGGAATTAAAGCACCGGCGTCATTGCAAACGATTCTGAGCCATGTCATTTAAGGTCTCTAATCATTGGTGACTTTCGTCTCGCGGACCCCAACCAAGTAGCCTACATCTGCCAACGTGACTCAGTCCACTTGTCAGTGACTTCATGGATTTCTGCCATGTTTTGGTCTGGCCGCTCCTAGCTTTCTTCCAACCTACTCCTACACCACAAAACAAAGCTCGTCGAGGCAGTCGGTGGTTGTTTATTCGTAAAACAAGTTCCAACCACCTCAACTGATGAAGTTTCAATATTTCATCTATTAATCTACCGTCCCTACCTAGTTATCGTTTCCTAACGACAGCATTGCTTACTCGGTCGTCTCAGGATATACAAGCAGTGCTTCGAAGACACCTATGATCGAAAACAAGTAACCTACGAATATCTTCTACTGTGACTGGCTATGTTTCACAGCCATCAAGTTGGACGGAGCAAGATTCAGATAACATCGTATCCTTAATTTATGTTTCAATACATAAATATATCTGTTACTATACAGTCCAACCATTGATAATTTGTAATTTAGTCTAATTATCAAAAGCATATACAAATTTCAGAATAAAATAAAATTGATTAATTTCTTACTTATCCTTTGGTAAGAGTAGATTTTGCAGTATAAGTCTATGCGTTATTAAATCATAACATGATATCGATCAGTGAATTTCTAGTTGATGTCCACATATTAACTATCATTATTTATTTGAAATAAGATGATTTAACTGTGAATTGATATTTGTATGCAACTAGTTTATCCTTACTGTAATACTAACAATCATTTATATACGTTTGCGTATTTTCAAGATTAATCCTCTCTCTCTAGCCCTGCAACCTCGATTGTTACTCTATATTCACTTTTTGTTGTCGATTAAAATTAACCAGTATGTTTAATGATCTTTTTTTTTAAATGATGTTTAAAATCCTATAGGTAATCAAAATCCAAATTCAGATAATCATGGCTCGTCTGATAATGCTCACTCTTCATCATCAGATTCATCAGTTAATGTATGGCCAGTGGTAATACCACTTTCATGGGATTCCATTGGTTATCCATATGGTTCAACACTTCGTCAAGTTGGTGTATCTACCACGAATTCATCGAATGAACCAACTTTTAGCATGGCTTTAGAACATAGACAAATTCATCGTTTATCTGATTCAGGTACTAAAATTAGAAGATTTTGTATTATCGGTTTAAAAATAATTTCCTTGTGTTCTGTGAAGACTAATTCTCAAGATTTATTTTAGAAGCACTATAGTTACTTTATTTACTGAACGCCCTGTAAAATATTTCACGATGAAGCAACCCCCCTAAGCTGTTATTTTAATACTAATAATCATAGTTATGTACTTGTGACTGACTTCGACAAGTTTCCAAAGTTCCGACGTAAGGGTATGACCAATATATTTTAGTCATTGACGGAAGCATATGTTCACTCCACGATATTCCTAATCAGTTGAAGTTAAATTATAACGACCCTGTGTACTTAGTGTTCCAAAGGTAAAGCATCTACCAATAGATCTGAAGGTCCCGAATTCTATCGCTGATGGGGTCATTTGTGATGAGCGTCTTTAGCGCGAAAGCGAAATTCCAAAATAAAATTACAAAATTAGGACCTTTTCCAAGTGAGTTCTGAGGATCTAATGTCCCCAACACTCCTCTCTCTCTTAATAGCGTACGTTCCCGGGGTCGACTGTTGACTGTTGTTCTATTAAAACGTAAACCAGCTTGTTGTTGAGCTTTTACTCATGATGGGGCTAACGGTAAGTTGAAAGTATCTAACAGGATGTCAAGAGTAAGATTTGCTTCTCTTCACGGGTGATCTGGGGCTAGCCGTTTGCGTATGTGATTCCGTTGGCGTGACCATCTGTCGCTTCCTACCTTTACTTCGTACATGACACGGTCCACTCTTCTGACCACTCGCGCTTCTGTCCAAGAACTATGGTTTGGTCTGTAGTCACGGGCAAACATAGAACATCCCACTTCGTAAGTTTTATGCTTTTCAGACTTTGTCTGTACTGCTGTTGGTACATTACTCGGATGCATCAGGCTGTGGATCGTTTTCAGTCTTCCTCCCGCCAGGATTTCTGCTGGGCGCTTTTGCTCCAGTAACGTCTCATTTGGTGTTGTTCCATAAACGTACAAGAACTTTTGTAACGCTTCAGCTGGTGTCCCCTCCCCTCTTTACGTAACCAATGCTCTTTTAAACTGATCCACAAACCTTTCTGCTTGCCAATTCGACTGTGGGCACTCAATGTTAAAATATTTATTTATATTTAATGCTTTTTGTGGTTTTCTTGTTCATTTTCTCTCAAGGCAATTCTACATATGATGATGAATTCATTCTAACTGTTCGAATTCAAGATGTCTGTTTTATTTATTGGCCATTGTTCAGTTTAAATCATCGTTGGGATATATTTTCAAATATTGGCAATCCTACTTCAACAACTCCAGTTAATTCTTCACATTCTACTACAACTACAAATAATAATAACAATAATTTTAATTATTTAAATGGTCTACCAAATTGGTTTATTCGATTTTGTAATTTATATCAAACTCCTAGTCTAGTATTAATTACAGAAGAATATCCTAGTTATTATGCACCAGCTTGTCTATTCTCTCAACATTTACACTTTGAACATTTGACTGTGACATTTTCAATGCCTTATCCAGAATATTTTATTTTGTCAACAAATAAACCGACTACTGTAAATTATCAAATGCCCATATTACATTTTATGATTGGTTGTGAATCAACTAGTATAACTGTAAATACAGCTATGGAAATGTTAACCATTTGTCCACCGACAAATAATAATAATAATCATACTAATAATAGTAGTCCAATCGATATGCAACCTGGAATGTTAGTCATGGCATTTATTAATAATTTGGCGATATTTATATTCCCTTTCAAATTTACTGTAAGTTGTTAGAATTTTGTAAATGTCAGGAAGTGACTATTAATAATGATAAAGTTTGAATTTTATGCACTTAAGATTTTTATTCCTACTGTTGAATTATTGTCTCTCAGTAAAAAATTTTTTCGTTCACAGCTAAGCAACATACAATCGTCAACTATTTCCACACTAAAATTATAAGTTCCTTAAAGAGAAAAAATTTTTGATTCTATACAGTTTCAAGAAAAACATGATCTGATGTTTACGGAGATCCACTGAGATAAATCAAGTATTGCATGGATGTAAGCGATATGCACTTATCCCTCGTTCATAATGTTTATTTTGAAATGTTCTTTACTATTGAATCAAATCATCCTGGCTAATCACAGTAGTAATGATCATTATCATGTTTGTGTTAGTCCTTCATACGAATTTAATTCAGTCGATACAGTTGCGATTAATCATTCATTGTAATACTGCGATTGCATTGCATGAAAAAAAGGCTTCCTCAAGATTTCAAATGCGAACTAGTAGGGAAACCTAGTGTCAAGGGTTTCTTGTTGATCACATTGAACCACCAATACAAGTAATCAAAGTGGCATAAATGCACAAAATCAATGGAATGACTATATTCACTTAACACTATTAGTAAATCGTTTTTCATTGTTACCAAACCCATTCCATTGCTGATTAAATATTATTACATTTCAAAAGGAGAAAATAACAGAATCCAATCAGTATTTCGATTTTGTTTTTAAAGCGCATATATATTCTAACTTCTTTTTTAATGGTTCACATATTTCCTTGTTCGTTTTTTTTTTCCTTCTAACTTTAGCCAACCAATTCAAATTCATTGAATCCTCGATTATCGGATATAAATTCTTCACATCCATTATTGAATAATTTCCGTCATTGGCTTAATACATTCGATTTGAATAAAGCTGTTTGTATAGCAAGCTTAGATCATTTAGAATTAAGATGTTTCTCTGAACCAATTGTTTTACCAAATGCAACTGTAAGTTTGTTCGATAGATTTGGATTCAATTATGTTTGCTAATTTATATATATATATTTTTTTTTTTCACTTATGATTGTGCTTTTTGAGGTCACTTGATAAATTTTTGGAAATATTCACGAAATTTCTGTTATGTTCGCCACTAGGTACCCTTGAAGCTATTACCAGTTCATCTTAGTCGATTAGCGCGAACGAGACAATTATCAGCGTCCAGGTAGGCTACCTTGAATCCCATGCGGTAAAACAGAAGTCTTGGTAAGCGTAGAAAGTATATTCTACAACACCCAGCAATCACAATACAATCAAGCACACAACTCTCGTTTATTTATGCATCATAGAAACGTACTTGGGAAAATAGCACGAAAATAGCACTCTAAAATACACAGCAGCCAATCACAGCCATGGATTTTCCTGGTGGGAATTGAAATCCCAAGATCAACTGATCAGCCCATGCTCGCAAACGTGAAGTCCAAAATAAGGCATTTATCAAGCTAGTTCTGGGGATCTAAAATCCCCGACAATTTTTTTAGAATTGAATAACATTACTATAAAGAAATGGCATCATTTGTAAAGCGATTGACGATTTCCACACTCAATGCAGTAGAGATCAAGAGCTAGTGTTAACGTGCAGTTACTCTAAACGATGTACATGGAATCAGGTTAAAAAATATCCAACTTGTTTTTTCACAGGCCATTAATTCACTACCCTACACACTTGGCATAAATAAGAGATTAACACTTTTACAAATGAATTTCTTATTATCCCTACAAAGAGGATTCTTATTACAACAGTATATTCGTATATGTAGTGCATAATTTTTCTTGAGAAATCGATAATAATAATAATAGTACATTTCAAATGAAAAAGTTGTAGATATAAGGAAAGAACGGAGAAATACAGGGAGTTTATTTAATTTTGGCATTGAAAAACAAGGGTTTAAATTGTTTGTTTTATTCAGAAGAACAGCATCAATTACAGCTAGAAAATTTATTTTAGTTTGTTTGTATCCAGTTATTTAAACTAAGAATCACTGATCAATAAGCAAATATCTCTTGTTTTTTCTCACATTCATTCTTATTTAATGAAGGTAGTTTTTTTTCAAAACAGAGCACCAATTTTACAACTGAATGGCTAGAAAAAATAATAACTCATATTATATGGTTATACGCAAAATATTAATTTTCGTAATTCTGCCGTCTTTAAATAAATTAAAGTTACAATATGGTAAACTGTTACGTTCGTCAATTGATCTACTTGAACTATTACGAGTTCACCATAGTCGGTAATCGAGAGCGAAGACAAATGATCCAGTGATACGATAGGCTACGCTAATTCGAGCATCCCAAGGCCCCACTAAGTAGAGGAAGAAATCTTGACAAGGCGTAGGAAGTGTATTCTACAAGCGCCCAGATAATCGAGGTCTACAAGCATACAAATCGAGTTTATTTATACATCATGAAAACGTCCTTGGGAGTGCCAGCAAAATAGCGTACTGAAATAACACATCAACCAGTGACAGTCAAGGATTTTCCGAGTGGGAAATGTATTCTCAAGGTTAACTGATCAGCACATGTGCGAAAGCATAAAATCCAAAATTAGGACCTTTATCAAGTGAATTCCGAGAATCTAACGTCCCCAACATAAACTTGTTATTTAATGAAGAATTCTTGATTTTTTAATAAAAAACGGAAAACAGAACAAAATAATCGACAGCTTATAATTGATACTCGAAATATTGCGTAGATTATTTCCATTATAAAAAATCTGTAGCATAATGACTACGATGATAAGTTTATCTGCATTGAAAAAATCGAACTGTCAATTGATTTGAATATTGTTCTTATGACATAATAATCTTGTTTTTTACCAATGTAAGAAAGTGATGAGTCATTAAACATTTTTCCACTACCATTTTTATTTCTGAAAAACATATCAATAATGTTGTTATTAGATTTAATGAAGACAGAAAAAAAAGTTTTGTCATTTTGTAATGAAAATAAGTGTGGTTCCATGAATATGATCTGTTGGCGGTAGTGATCACCGTTTTTAGTGTTTATATCTATGTGTTTGAATCATAAATTGATAATACTAATCATGCAACTATGTGCCTACTTTAAAAATTCCATAGTATTACTAAAATTAGCAATCTACTTGACTACATGCTGAATTTGATGACTCTGTTTCTTCTAGTCACCTGTTTGTAGGATAATTTTTTGCTCTATAATTATATAAGCAACCGGTTATCTAGTTTTTAGTACTTTTATTTAACATTTGTAAGTTTTAGTTGTTTAATTTCACTGCCACTGTTACTGGATTTACAGGACATCATGAATAAGATCCAATGTCAGCCAAATGGCAATTGTACTGTTGTTGAACTTATAACATCCTATTACTTATTTACGCCTGTCACCCCCAATGGAGCATAGGCCGTCGACCAGTGTTATCCAACCTACTCTGCCCTGGGTTTTCCAGTTCTGTCCAATTTTGTTGATAACACTCTATATATACTGTTTATTAAACAAGTATATAGTTTGTATGTCTTATTATCCTATCAGGTAGTACTACTTTATCTGTTTGAAATGCTGTACCACTTGAAGTTTAAATATTACTATTAGATCTGTCGAAGTGCCCAACCACTCGATGTTTAAAACACCGACTCATCTAAAGAATAGTTCGATTGTTACAAAAAAATGTATAAATCAGAAACGAACCCCAATTCTTGAGGTATCTGTGGTGGTCATCGCATCTCTTTTTGTGAAATAGAAAATGTATCTTGCCATCATTGGTTAGAGGTTTAAGTACAACATGTGATTGTGTAAATCACCGATGGTAGCTCTGTCCAACGCCAACCGTGACTGTCAACAAAAGCTCTTTCACTCAACAAAAAATTATCTAAAAAATGCTCGAAAACTAAAATTACTTGTTGCAAAGTTGATAGAATGTTAGCAAAATAAATGTAGTGAACGTAATTAGTTTTTGTAAATAATCAAGAATATTAGACATCAACTACACATCACATTATATGCCCAAAAGTTAATAAAAATGAAACCAGTTACTCAATATTGATAAGTAATTTAGAGTAATACATTTGACGGAGTGAAACACGATGATATGGTCAATAAATGAAAACCAACTTGACAATTATGTTGGGACTGTTGTCGATCATATGTGCATCCTATTTGAGACTCATCTACTGGATATTGATATCAGGCTAGTAATTATTTGTGCTAGATGGCTTAATAGGTAATGCTTCGAGATGTACAGTGATAGATATAGGGTTCAAATCTCAGTATTCACATTAACATTTGAATCGAAGTACACTTAGTTTGGCATATCCTAAATAGAACGAAACTCTTATTGTGGATTCTACTGCGATTCACTAAGTCTATTAAAACTCATTTCAAGGCATTAAAATCACGTACTTACATTGCTCTGGAACTACATCTTGCTTTTGTACCACTACTGAAACAATGATTTTAATTCCTTTCCTCATTTTTTTTATCTTTTGCAACTATACTATTGCAAATTGTGATAATTGGGAATACGATTCATTCATTTTAGGTCATGGTACAAAGTCACTGACAATCGGACTGAGCCATCTTACTAAGTGTAGAAAACCTGATTGGAGTCCGTGAGACAATAGTAACCAATGGTTAGAGACCTTGAATGACATAGCCCAAAATCGTTTGCTAGGGCACAAATGCGTTCATTCTTTGTCTTCTCTCACGAGCTCAAGACTTTTTCTTATCTCTTCTTAAATTTACTTCACTGGATTACACTCCTTGAGTAACATCTTCAAAACCCTAGTTTCTCCATTAAATCTAATACTTCTGCTACATCTACCACTATGGGATTTGAATTGAAAAGTCAATGTTTCTGTGTTGATGTGCTATGTTAACTTGAACTGTTGTACGGACCTATGAAGTTCTACGTTGTAACTCACTGACTTACTCATGCTAGGTTATACATTGTCTATGGCTTATTAGTATGTACTCACTTAGTTTTTCTTAGTCATCTAATTTGTTATTAAATATTTTTCGGACATTTTTCACCATAAACTGACACCAGTTACTAATTAATCTTTCTGTTACTTTATTTCTTTTAATCGTTTTAGGATAATAATAATAATAATACCAGATCTTCTTTTACACATCAAAATTCTACAATCCCTACAATTGCCAATCGATTTGATATGCGTATTACAAATAACTTATTGAAAATTAATACATGTGTTGATAGTTTAGTTATTTTACATAAATTAATTGAATTATTGTCAATTTATGATATGAATAATTGTAATACAATTGCACGATCGAAACATTCACCATTAATCCATGCCAAAAATCCAACATGCTGTAAAACCACCACCTATTCATCATCAATTGATTCAACATTATGTCGACCATTTCATGCATCAAGTCCCAATGCATCCGGTTCAGTTAATTTGGTATGTGGCGTTTTTAGTTTTCAATTTTTTCCAATAAGTGTCGTTTTATTTTCAGACGTTGAGTAATTAAGGCATAAATTTGTGGTAATTAAATAGGAGAAACAAATTAAAAGAGTTTGAATTTTTTTTTGAATTTGAATTTTGATGTATTTCAACAGATTTACTGTCTCTGCCTCTTTCCGTTTATATTTTTTTTCACTATCTAATTATGTACACACTTCTTATAATGTAATAGTCTGGATGTTTTGTAATGATTATTTTAAGTCTGTTTATCCACGTTTGACCTACTATTGACAAAAACTTCGTATTTTTTCTTCTTACTACTATCAGTACACCTGCCTTCCTACTATCAACTTGTACTTTTGCCTATTTTATGTATTGTGATGTAATGTTTTATTTCATTGTGATTATTGACTCAAATTGCCTTGATTGGTTTAACATTTTCATATCAATGTTCATGTATATTAGAGTGAAGCGTGATGACGATCTAATCGAAAATAATATTGTTCGCTTATGTGTGTTGTTCTAAGTTACTACTATTTTTCGTTTTTTCTTCCCGAAAAGGCAGCTACCATGAGATCATTAAAATTAGTTTGTTAATACAACGTTGTTTTTTTATAATATATTGTAGAATTACGGTTGAATAGTTCAAATATGTAACTCTATGTTATTGCATTGTTGATTTGAACTTGTTCTATTTAATTTATTCTATATCGATTCGTTCGTATTCACATGTATGATATGTTACTGATAGTTTCTAGTATACATTTAGTTTATATGATAAACATGTTGTATTTTTGTCTTTAAGTATTCTTATTCAAATCCTTTTTCAAATCTTTATTTCGTTTATAAGCTGTTGCCAAAAATTATTTTGTACAAAATGTTCGCAAATAACTGAAAGATTTCTTAAACCTTAAGGAAAATTCTGTTTAGTATCTTCTCTGTTCGAACATCTCACGGATGTTAACTGTTTAACAAATCAGGTTCGCCTAGCGTTAAACAACAACAAACTGAGTTAATTAGTTTCTGTTCTCTTATTCATTTAAATGGCTTCTTTTTTCTACCAAAAGTACTGAATATCGTTTTAATCTTAATCTCTCGATACCATTGTAAAGTATTTTACTGTATATAAACACAAGATTATTCGTTCGAATTCTGGATTTTCTGTTATGATTACTGACTCTATATTTGAACATAGAACTGTGTTTTTACAAAATGTAGTTTTAATGTTAGAAGGAAAAAGAGAATCGAAAGATAAGAGATTCATTGCATCTGCACTTACAAAGCTAATTATCAACCCTGTTTCAACATTCATATCTCATAAATGACTATTCCAGTCACAAACTCATTTGTCAATGTTATCCTTGAGAAGTATTTATTAAAGAAATAAAAATATTTTTTGTATTTTATTTCGAATATTGGAAACAGTGAAATATAAAACACATTTTTTGTCGTATTTTAGTTTCGTCGATTGTGTTCAGTTTCATTTGAATGATAGTCCATCTCGACATCCATTCTTTGTCTTCTCTCAAATTTTATTCTTCTCAATGCCACATGACCTTCATCTTTCTCTCTTCAACCTTATTTCAATAGATTTTATATACTCCTTGAATAACAGCTTCGATTCCTATTATTATCACTTATACTTCTACAACCCCTATAATTATAGGACTTGAATTGACAATTCCATCTCTGTGTGCTAATATGGTATGGCAACTTGAAATGATGTACTTACCACGTACTACGTTTTAGCTGATTGACTGTGACTATCTATTACTTAAAAAACCAGAGAAATATAAACCCTTGCAATAAAATAATAATTCATACATGTATTTTTTAAACATGATATATGATAATATAATTGAACTTAAGTAGTAGTAACATTCATCAAAGTTGATTTCGCTCAGTTATTAGTTTTATTTTAATAATATTAATCATAAAATAATGACCTACTTAATTTTTTTCATTTTTATTTGAATATCATATTATGCTTTTTAGAATTGTTCTCCAAATATACTCGATACGAATCAAGGTAAAAGTGGTTCCGTGAGCAGTCTTGATCTGATACAAGATGCAATATCAGATGTGGATTCTGTAAGTAGTAATCAATTTTGTTTTGTTTTATAGTTCTTCATTATGTTCTTATAGATTTGTTTATTTAAAATCTCAAATCAATAAAATTTATCAATAAATGAGCATAGAATATTTATATTTTTTGTAAAAATTACATTAGTATTCGATTATAGATGTCTTCGAAGGATTGCTCGTTTATCCTGGGACTGCCGAGTAAGCAATGCTACAGTTAGGAAACGTGTATTAGGTAAGAATGTCAGATCAAAAGATGAAGTATTGAAACTTTATCAATGGAGGTGGTTGGGACATGTGTTAAGTATGCCTACTCACTAACTGCGTTGACGAGCGATGTCTTGTGGTGCAGGAGTAGGTTGGAAGAAAGCTAGGGGCGGCCAAACCAAAACATGGAACAAATTCATGAAGTCACTGACAAGTGAACTGAGTCACGTTGGCAGATGCAGGCTACCTGGTTAGGGTCCGCGATTCGAAAGTCACCGATGGTTAGAGATCTTGAACGACATAGCTCAAAATCGTTTGCAATGGCGTAGGTGCATTCATTCATTGTGTTCTCTAAAATTCTAAACTTCTGAATTCCTCACCATCTCTATCTTTCTCTTTCTAAAGTTATCTCACTGAAGTATACTTCCTGAATAATATCTTCTCCATTACTGCTAATACTTCTACTACCTCTGCTACTATGGGATTTGAATTGACATTCACGTCTCTGTGCTAATGTGGTTTAGCAGTCTGAACTTATGTACTGACGTACGAAGTTCTACGTTGTAACTAACTGACTGACTTAACTATTGACATATTAAAATATATTACAGTTTTACTGCTTTTGAACTAGAAAAACGCATCCATTCTTAAAATGATTGTTTGTTTTTATAGCATCTCATTCGGTTGTCAGTATAAGTTCAATAGTCAATTTGGCATTATGATTTTATTTCTATAGAAGGATATAAATTATAGATATAGCTATTTCATTAGGCAGTCGGCTATAATCAATGTGCAGTTAAACAAAAATGTACATTATTTCTAGTTACTAGATCATATTAATACGACAATATTAAAATAACAAGATAATTAACAAAAGATGTACATCGTGGTATTACCAATACTAATGAGAAAGATTAAACATACGACTCGAAATGATGGAACGATCAATTTCCTTTCAAAGCCTACTAGAATTGAAGTTCTAAAGGAAGATAAATAGAGAAAATTCATCTATATCGTTCTCAGTCCCATTATTTAGTGATGATAAAGTATCTACATACTTTAGACTTTAAGCCTAACCAATTTTAACATACTAATCAGTAACATGTCACTTGACAACAATATTATTTTCCAGTTAATAATGTGATATATCCCACTGTAATTCTTAAACATATCAATTAAAATTGATACTAATACTTGAGGATTGCAGTAACACTGTCTATTTTTTCAACCATCCACCTACCGCCAAAGATCTACTTTTATTTTTACACTCACACAGTTGAAGCAAAGTATTCGTGATACAGTATTCATCCTGTTTATATATCATCAACTAATTTAAATGAAAAACAATATTATTATTATTTTTAAATGTAATAATGTTAACATTTCCTCTTTTGTAGGCTCATTCATCACCATTTAAAAGTGGTCATATAAAACGATCATCAGCTGTTGATATTCCTTCAAATATCTCACAAATTCCCAATAAAACTAATGAATTGGCAACAAGAAAATTAGATCAAAATCTAACTATGAATACTTGTTCAATTCCACAACCATGTCTTACTGTACATAGTATTAGTAAACGGAATTCCAATACTTCAATTGATAGTAATATACAATCATCCAATGATAGTCCTTCTTGTCCTATGAGTACTACTACTACTACTAATAATAATAATAATAATAATAATACTATTTCTATCAATGACAAAAATAACACAGTACAATCAGTTAGTGAAAATCAACTTTACCTAGATCATTTATTATCGGATCATTCAAAATCTGAATTGAATTATTCACAAAATTGTAAATCATCAAGTCTTTCGGATGATTTTGTTTTCATTGATCCATCCACTGATCCAGTATTGAATTATACAACACCAAAAGAAAAAATTCGTTGTCTACTTCAACCAATGAAACAATTAACCAATACTACTACTGACAATAATAATCAAGCTTCATCATCATCATCACCGTCATTATTAAGTTTTGATATTCATGAAAATTTCTACTCTTCACCTAGTTCATCGACAAATTCTAAAAGTTATCGTGTGAACCGATGGAATCGTTTATTTATTGATCCTGTTAAAATTTATCCACGTCCTTTATTAGCTATCACATTGTATGATGTTTCATTTGAATGGAATATATACGCTGGTAATGATTTATTGCCTCAATCATCAGGAATAACAATTCCATTATCAGGTAAAAGAATTCTTTATGAATATTTAAGTTTTTTGGTTTGAACATGTTGCTTTGTTTTCTGGTTTATTTAACATTGACAAATTTTTTTTTAAAAAAAAAAACTTCATTTGTTTAGTTTATTTTAAAAATTTTTACCGGATTAATTAAACTTTCTAATATTATTTGGTTATCACTAACTACTCTGATATTCTAATCAGGGCAAACATGATAGTTTATAATAGATTTGTTTCTCATATGACAGTTGATACATGTTTTCATTACTAAAAAAATCGCATTGATCGTGAACGGGTTTGTATTCTTAGTCTAATGTATACATTAATGATACTATCTGACTAGCTGCGCTAATGTTAAATGAATTTAAATTTATAGCAAAAATGTTTACAACTATGAACAAATGTCTGTTTCATATAATATAGTGTTAAACCAACGAATAGACAAGTTAATATAAAACTTGTTCCAGCTAAAAATAGATGTCTTATCATTATATTTGATTCATAACACATAAAATAGTATTTAGTGATGGTCTAGGAGAATGCACCGAATCGAGAGCTACCGTTAGCCTTCGCGAATTGAATAGGAAGTCAAATCTTTCGTTCATTTAACAGACTCATTAATCCGGTATATGAACTTGTACTTGGTCGTTCATTTTCTTCAATTGGCTGATGTTTAATGTTAACTCCGAGGACCATTTGCCATTTAAATGTTCAGTTTTTCCTGAAGTGTTTAGCATTGAAAATCCCTTCATTTATTAACTTCACTGTATTATTCATATTTCAGGCAATATTCCGCCTAATGAAATTTCTATCCCTGTTCGATCACATAATAAATCTCCAGTGTTATCTTCCTCATCGCCACTTAAAGATCCTACACAAAAATTGATAACAACTCCATCTCGTTCGAATGAATCACTTTTGACCAGTAAAAATATTACAAACATACGACCTAGTGGGAATGTTTCACCTAATCCAGTGTTAAAATCCTGTCCTAAACCTGGTTACCGTTTTCGTCATGGTCAACCGATTATTAATAAACCAAGCACTAGTGGTATCGGTGCCAGTGGTAATGTAGGTATACATTCGAACAATTCAAGGTCGGAACATATTTCGTTACAATCCCCTGATGATTCGAAAAGTATTCGTTCTCGTCAAATGTTGTATTCACAAGGTGGCCTGGGACGTCAGCTTGACAATGTAAGTTTTACTCTCCTTTGAATATACGATGATTATTAATGGGCAGATTTAGCGCATAATTTTATTAATTTATTTTTTGGAGTTCCTGAAACTTCGTCTAATCAGCGCTCAGTGGAGACTCCCTGAAAATTCTGGAAAAATTATGTTATTCAGCATGCAGATACTTAAATACTTTTTTACTAAACATAATCTGTTCTCAGAAACTACCGGAATAACAAGACCACTTATAAATACGTTTGTTTTCTGAATATAAATTCACCTTAAAAATAATGTTGTTGTTCATACTTCCCACCTTCTGTCTTCCTTTTTGGACTCAAACGAAGGAGAATTTCGAATGACTAATAAACGATTAGGAAGTCTTTGTCAAGCGTTTGATTATCAGACATATCATCTAACATTCTCTACGCTATACACTTCTGATTCTAAACCGTTTTTTGTGAATATCGCCAAATAAAATCACAGTATAGCAGTGATCTATTCTAGTTGTAGTGATGATCAATAATATGACTGATTAATTTTAGTGTTCATGATAACATCGAAAATTAAGTGTCTTCATCTGTTCACTAGTTCTTTCTCTAATTTTATCATTACGTATTATTTACTTGTCCCGTTGGTACTTATGATATGAGTAACAAACCAAGTTGCATCACATGTGGCGTAGGCGAGTTGTCCCTCTGTTAACCAAACGACGAATGTGTTGTCCTTAGTTTATTTTATTTTAGTTTTCGGCTTTGAAAGAAGTTCTCTAACAGTAGAGGACATCCTTAAGCTACACTTACTTTCACTTTTACCAGGGTGATTGATTCTGTTTTTAGACTTGAAATATTAGACAAATATAGCAACTTAGTTGATGAAGTAGTGAAATTTTGCATCGATTAAGTTGTTTGAGATACATATTACCTATCCCTAACTATTCCCCACATCAATGTGCGATGTTTTCTGGCGTAGTAGATCGGAAAAACTTGGCACTAGTCCATTGACTCATTGTCTTTTGAACTGAGTCGTGTAGATACGTGTAAACTACTTAGTTCTGAGTCAGCATACTTATCGTAACCAATAACTGAAGACATTGGATGTCCTATCTGAATTTTTTTCCTACAATTTTTACCTTTACCAATCTCATAGTGGTTTCATGCTGCGTAACTGCTAATCTTAATCAATGTTAGCAAGTTTATTCTACGTGCAATTTTTTATGGACCGTCTTAAATTAGTAGGAGAGGCATGAGAAGAATGAACAAAAATTGGACAGAACTGGAAAAGGAAGCCCACGACAGAGTAATTTGGAGAACACTGGTCGGCGGCCTATGCTCCATAGGGGGTTACAGGCGTAGGCAAGCAGTCATTCACATTACTCAACTTATTTCAATTCCAATTTTGGCGTAAAGACTTGTCTGCACAGTTAGTTCATTAAAAGGCAACCATCTGTTTATTTTTTTATTTACATGTTAGAACAGAATAAAATTCGCTAGTTGAAATAAGATTGATACAGAGCTAATAGCTGTGTCTGGCACCATAAGGTGAAGTATAATGTTTTTAAACCTGAGCGTAATTGGCTGTTCAATTCAAGCCTGAATATAAATCCTTACAATTGATAACAAATATCATACCTTTATGAACAAGTTAATGGCTATCATGGCTCAATAGTTTAATGTATAACACTCTAGAAGTGGTGGTCACTGGGTGCAAATCTCACTTGAAACATCTTGTTGGCAAGTCTTAAACAGAACAAAATACTCACTCTATGACTAACCGCTATTCAAAATACACTCTTCTTGCTGTATTGAAATGCATCATTATGTTAATTTTTTGTGATCTACTAAAAATACAAACTGTAACATGTTTTTCTCTCTCTCTCTCTGTGTCTCATTATTTTTTCCTTCACAGTGCATTTCATTCAATATCTCAAAATTATATTTTCGACATGCAAAATTTCCAGCTCGTATGAAAAAATCCACTCATCCACATGAAGAACACCAAACGAATTCATCACAAAATTTATTCACTCTTACTGTAGATCCATTTCAACGTTTAATTATTCATATTTCATCAATTGTCATAGTTGATCGTGTTAATAGTTCCAAAGTTAATCAATTACTTTATTCATATCATCAAAATTATTCACCAAGTATTCATTTACTATCATGTAATTCAGATACACCAATGTTACGTATGATTGCTGTTTGTTGGCCAGTTATACCAAGTCAATTAGAATTGGATAATAATTCCATGTTGTCTCGACAGCAAACAACTGAAAAAATTAAATTGGATAATGAGAAATCGGTAACAAGAAAAACAGAGAACGATATCAGTGATGATGATATAGACAATGAAGACAATGTATCCAATGATTGTTCAATGAATAGATCACAATTGGAGTCTATGAAAAAATTCGATTATATTTATTTACCACAACCAAATAATCTTGAAGTAGAAATTAAACTGTCTATTCAACCGTTGAAAATTAATTTGGATCAAGTAAGTTTGTTCTTTTGTAATTGTATATTGTTAGAGTGATTGATTAATGTAAACTCTGTTTACCTGCTCTCCACTAACTCACTGTTGTACAGTGAATGCGTGTTTATTTTTTATGATTTCTCTTTCTCGATAAAAGCAGTAAGTACACGAGTGTAAATCAATAGTATTGAAGACAAAACTCAATATGCATTACGGGGTTGTGAAGATTGTTATGTTACACATTTTTTTGAAACCATGAATCGATCAATGTTAGACCACCATTAGAAACCTGGAAGCACTGGACGGCCGTTTCGTCCTGGTATGGGACTCCTCAGCAGTGCGCATCCATGACTCCCGCACCCCGCAGGATTCGAACCCAGGACCTTCGGCATTGTGCGCGAACGCCTAACCATCGGACCACTGAGCCGGTATCTAACGTTGTTGATGTCTAACCTCAATTAATTCACGGAGTTGCGCAACCTCATACACAGTCTTCGGTAGTTACTGTCTACACCCGAACAGGTTGAACTTCTCTGGTCACGTTTTCCCACTAGAACTCGAAGGAGATTCCTCATGGAGCTAGTCACTAGTGAACACAAGTTATTTGTATTACGGGGTTGTGAGGATTGTTAAGTTACACAGTTTTTCGAAACCTGGTTTCGAACCCTGCGGGGTGCAGGAGTCGTGGATGCGCACTGCTGAGGAGTCCCATACCAGGACGGAACGGCCGTCCAGTGCTTCCAGGTTTCTAATGGTGGTCTAACATTGATCGATTCATAGTTTCAAAAAAAACTCAATGTCTCAACCACTGATAACAGTAGTAAATAGAATTTGTATATATTTAGTAAAAACTTGATACAAATACGGCCCTTGGATGATCTATTAACCATAGTTCATCGTCTTAACACTTTAGCCGTCAAAAACTATAAAAAGTGTTTAATTCTTATGAAGTGAGTTCACTGCGTAAACTTCCCGTAACTTATAATTCATATTCTCAGAAATTTTTGATTTTCATCCTAAGCGCGCTTCAGATTACATCTGGAAATACAATAATCATTGGGCTGTTACACTCAACTCTGATTGTTTATACCTTAAAACACAGACTTCACTTCATACAACGCAACATTTTCTCTGCGTTTTCATCTATATTTAGCATCGCGGTAAAATACTTCTCTAGTCCAAGGGCCACAATTGTTTGCTTTAATCCTAGAAAGTTTTCATGTTATTAGTTAACTCCTGTAAACTTGTAGGTTATTAATTTAATACTAAATTCGATTTCAGTACATCAACCCTACATGTTAGTCTACAATAGTACGTAACTTACTAAAAGCTAAAACTTTTTGTGGTATTTTTTATACTACTTAAAGTAGACAAATTTTTAAAAGGAAATTTGAATTGTTATAATCGAAACGATGTAAAGTATTTAATTATGCTAGGTACATTTTAATTTGTTTTTGAGACAATAAGGTGTAATATTTTCTGGAAACTTGAAAATAGTTTTTATGCGGTATCTACGAGGTGAATATTTTTTTTTATACAAGTGTACTTTTTCTTATTAGGTATGGAAAAATCCGTATCAAATGTTTTCTGATATGTATTCCAGTCAGCAGGATATAATCACTGATTCGCTTTATGAAAACTGTCTTACTGATACCCATTTTT